TTGGACGCTTGTAAGATGGCCTCTGGCAGTGATGAAAACAACTCTTCTTCTGATCCAAAAAGAGGATGAACTCTACAAAAAATCTTGAATCAAAAGTTTATGTATAAGTTGACTATTTGGATCTTGAACACAGTTTCCCAAGGAAAGGCAGGTCCTATAGGAAACAGCCAAACTCAAAAGCCTATTTGATCCCAGCTATATTGGAGCTGAAAAGCATCTCATCACCCCTTTTAAAAAACTTCTATTGGGAAAATCCCTGCTCAAAAAAAGAAAAAAAAAACCCTGGTAGAATGTTCTTTGAGAAAGTATAAACCTGTATCTTGTAGGACACACTAGATTTGGTAATAATGTGCTTAAATGTGTATCTCTTTCTCTAAGTGGTTTGCATCTGTGTAGTAACTTTGTGTATGGGGCTCCTTGAAGCCCACATTATTTGTTTCACCTTTGTCTGAGGCCGCACGGTGGCCGTAACTTGGCAGGGAGGGTGGTGTGGCCAGGAGGGGACCTAGCGAAGAGGAAGACACCGGTGGTTCTGCCAGCTGAAGGGTCTCTGTTTTGAAGGGTCACACCATTCACAGTTTATGCCCTCAGTGAAGGTGTCTCATCTTTGCTGCTCCTTCTCTTTCCCATCCCTTCTGATATGTGCAGACTAGAAGCCACTGACTTGAGGCTTTCCGCAGGAATCCACAGTACGGCATCCATGAGACATGTTGGACTAGGTTCTCGAAGGCCTCGGCCAGTCCCATGACACTGTATGCTGTGCCCAGGTATCTCAGTGGTGCGGCTATCTTCAGGATGCCTACAGGCTAGTTGGGGAAGGCGATGCCATTTACAGTGATTGCAGCATGTCCTGTAGCACTAGGTAGTATAGCTAGATAGTAAAGGCCCAAGGGAAGCCTTAGGTGGAACATTTACTCTTAAGGAGTTGGGAAAGTTAGCCTCAATTCAGAGATGGTTGTCTTGGGTGCTAATCAGGAGTGATATTTATTCCCAGAGATCTTATAGGACCGTATAATACACTAATCAATTGTCCCCTAAAAGACTCCATCTAGATCAAACATCCCTAAATTCTGAACACCAAGAAATATGCCCAAAGTAAGAAAAACATCATCCCTACTGTTCAATGCCAATGCATAAGGACAATTATGAAGGTAAAGAATTCCAGAAATACTCTCAAAGGAAAACATAGACTACCACCAGATAAGTTCTCCACCTACAAAAGGAAGAGCAGAATGCTTAAGTTATAAAATTGCTATTGCCTTGGCCAGTGTGGCTCGGTTGGTTGGACCACCATCTAGGAGCCAAAAGCTTGCAGTTTTGATCCCCAGCCAGAATGTGTATGGCAGGCAACCAGTTAATGTTTCTCTCTCATATTGATGTTTTTCTCTCTCCCAACCACTCTCCTTTCCTCGGTCTTTGTAAAAAAAAAAAAAGCAATGAAAAAAAATGTCCTCGGGTAAGAATAAAAAAATAATAAAAAGAAAAATGAAATTGCTGTTGAAGGAGGCAAAGAAGAGAGAACATAGGCCAAGACCTGCTGACAGCAGATTTTCGCCTCTTCAGTGAGCGAGCAGAGTTTGCTCCGATTCATTTATTTCCCCTTTTCGCCCGCTGTCCATGATGGCGCTCAGTTTTGGACTTGAGCAGCCAGGGGGGTGGATGCTGGTGCCATTTGGCCCTGGAGGGCAGTGCTTCCTAAATCTGGGGGTGCACTGGAATCACCTGGGAAGTTTGTTACAGATGTTTAAATGACCTCCCGTTCAGTTTTGCATACTCCTCTTGATCACGCCAAATCTGATCTGTTGTACCAGATGAGGCCGTTCTTCTGGGATTGTATAAGGCGGGGGCAGGGAGTTTAGAGAGTCATCATATGATGACTTGTGTTCTCTGTAAAACAGGACGTGAAGATATATGATAAAGGAGGTGGAGATTACATGGCATGAGGGCAAGAAAAAAGCTTTAAAATAACCGTATTTAACGATAGAAGATCTGAGTAGATCCATTCTGCCTACTTTATAGTCTCATAGGTATGTGACATTAAAGCCATGTCAAGTGGAGACAGTACTCATAACGAGATAGATTTATAATCCATGCTGAACATTTAGTTTATATGGTTTTGGTATTAAGTGTGCACATGTAGTTATTTGAGTATTTGCCACTGATATTCTTTGTAGCTGATCGGGAGGTCACAGCTCAATGTCAAAGGAGCTTGATTAATAAATCAACTGAAACCATTTATTATACTGTGAAAAGTTCTAGATTCATTTCACACTTATTTCCATTTGCTACTCAATTATCAGCTGTCAGAGCCTATTAAGTATTGTAAATTTGAGTCAGAAGCTGTCACCCTTAAGTGTATTAACTCTCCTTAATCACATAGGTAGTGATTTTTCCTATAAAAGAATGTTATTCATCATCAGCTTATATCTGTCTTCACGATGCTATAAAATTGCCATTGGCTTCCATTGCCAAAATGAAGTAAATCAACATAGACACCAAAAAGGAAAGCTTCTAGTCATGAGTCATGAGTATTATCATATATGTTAACAGGCTTCTGTTGTTTCCAACAGAAGAAAATGTCGCCCAACTTTCAAAGCTTTTTGCTTCCTAGTATTAAAAATGTAATTTATTATTATTAGTTAACATTTATGAAGCATTCATTAAGTGCCAGGCACTATGCTCACAGCTTTGTAAGAATTATTTCTTTGAATACTCACAATAAACCTCTGAGGCTTTTGGTTCGTATCCTCCTATACCTTGTGTTCTGTAATGAAGGAAACAGTGGGTTCAAGGACTTGGGTATCTTGTTGCCCAGAATGACAGAGCCTGGAGTGAAACCTGAGCAGTTTAATTCTATAACCTTTTCTCTTCACCAGTAGCCTACACTGATGGATAGTGTTTCATGTGTACTAGGTGAATCATTTAGGAATGCATTTGGGTGCAAGTAACTAAAATTCAACGTATAGTAGTTTATAAGATAGCAATTTGGCTTTTTCTCTCTTCACAGAAAGAATGGAGGGAGGCAGACAGGCAGGCACTCACGTTGGTTTAGTAGCTCAGGAGTGCCAGGACCGGTGTTTGGGATTCCCTGGCCTTTCTCTCACGGCGGCAAAAATGGCTGCTTCTCTTTCAAGCATTGTCTCCACATTCAGGACGGGAGGAAGGGAGGGGGAAAGAGCTGGCACTGGCCATAACTGTATAATTTGTTATGAAAAGCACAACTTTTCCAGTTATCGCTCATTAATTTAAAACTGTTTCACATGTCCACTCACATCTGCAAGCGTGACAGGCAGCAGGGAGAAGGGGGCTGGAGACCACTGATGGACCAGCCTTGGGTCAAGGGTTATAGAGTCTTCAAACTTTGTAGGAATTTTTCACTTCTTTCTTAAGTACTTGCTTTCTTTTTCTTTTTAGAGCTATGATTCTTCAACTCCTAAGGTGTTCTTGCCTCCTTTTCTAGAATATATTCCTAGAGAGTAAGAGAAAGCTGTGGTTTTGTCACAGGTGGGCACAGGTAACCAGGTTCTTGGTGATTGGGACAAAGAATCAAACCGAACACCCAGAGTTTATAGCAGAGAACATGGGGGCAGGCCAACTCCAAGCAGAGATTGACCTCATGGGCTGGAGGGACTCTATTCTTATAGGGTGGATCCTTCCTGGCTAGTTTTGGTGGGCTTTTACTGAGGATGTACAAGTAGTTGTATTACTTTAAAGCTACTGCGCATGTGGTCTCCCATGATTCTCCCCTATTGGCCACCAGGGAAGAGGGTCCCACAATGCTACCGAATTGACCCCTGTTTCTCCTGAGGTCACCCTGTACTATGTTCACTTTTCCCTTCGCCAGAGAATTATAGCTCTCCATGTTAGAGATTGGTGAAAAGGAAAGGAGCTAATTATTCAAGTTATACAGTTTCACTAATTGGATCTGAATGCATCAGTTGCAAGTAACAGAAACTGTTGTACACTTAAGAAAACAGATGAGTTTCAGTTATTCACTCAACGAATAGATGTATTAAGCACTGATTATGTGTCATGTGCTCTTCTTGGCTCTGGGGATACATCAGTGGAGAGGAGGAGAGAGAGAAACAGACAGACAGACACATACACACTATGCAAAAATGTCGTGTAACCCAAGGATAGAAATGCAGCAGGGCCTGTTCCACCAAGAGGAATAGGACCCGGGGGCTAGGAAGGTATGAAGAATTCAAACAGCTCCTCTGAATATATGTCTTTAACTCTGCTCACTCTGCTTCCTCTCAAGTCTTAGTCTGCATGGTAGATGGAATATGGTCACCCTGCACCACCTGAGTTTTCATCTTCTGTCCAAGCAACCAACTCAAGCAACCCGCCTCTCAGTCCCAATTCAAATACCTAAACAAAAGAATTTGAATCTACTAAGCCCATGGACAGAGAGAGATAGGGTTACACAGGTCATTGTGAGTGGGGTGGGCACTTTGAACGGCGTCTACCTTAAAAGGCTACCCGTTGCTGCCACCATCTCCAGGCTCCTTGAAGCTTTTGTAGATGCTTTGCCTGTATCACTCCTGGCAAAGCTCCTCCTACCATGCCAGAGACCTGCAAGTCAACTCTACCTTGAGGAACACAGTTGTTTCACTCTATAAAAATGGCACGAGTCAAAGTTGTTTTGAGCCTTCTCATACCACCCTTGTACCCTAATATATTAAATCATTTCCCTCACATCCCTGTCTCTGTCTTCCAGATAATGGGAGGTCTTGGTTGACATAAAACTCCCTTCTTCTCACTTCAAGCCAAGCCTTCAGAAGCCAACACCACTACTAACCAATTTGGTTCCAAAGTGCATAGTGCAGTGTGGGTTGGTATATTCTTTTATGACCCTTATAAGCCAGTGAGACAGGGTTGTTGGTTATTTAAAGAACAGAATGAAACAAAAACACTTCTCTTTGTTTCCAACCAATGCATGTTTTTCCTTTCAGGGATAAACTGAATTGCTGACCTGTGGCTGATCTGTTTTCCTACAGGCTATGGATCTCCCTCCACACGGAGGGGCATGGGCAGGCTGGGGCTCCTGGGGCAAATCTCTGCTGTCCTCCGCATCTGCCACAGTAGGTAAGCATCGTGTCTTGCATTTGAATGGATGAAGTTCGGAAGCCTAATAGGATATGATAGTTCAGTCGTACCATGTGCTGACAGAGTTTAACATTAGCCCATGGGATGACAAACACCTTTAGTGCTTATTGTTCTAAGTGCTTCATGTCTGTTAATACATTTATTCCTCAAAATAACTCTGTAAGAAGGTACTCTTACTTTCTCCATTTGAGAGCAAAGGAAGCTGAATCACAGAGGCAAAGACCTTGCCCGAAGTCAGGAGCAGCGGAGTTGAGAACCAAGTAGGATGGCTTTTTATATAAAAGCCACTATGTTATATTGACTCTTAAAATATAAGGTTGGGGCTTTTAAAAATATATTGCTAAAGCTTTGTGCTTATCATTCCACTTGAATGTTTTAAAATCTACAACTAACTTATCCCCTAAAAGGGTCTGTAAGAGGCACTTTGGAAGTGTCTATAAAAGGCACTTCATCAGCAGAGCACTGAGACACGAATACAAATAGAAGAAGTGCGGGTAGGAGGGATACTGTGCTCTGCTTAGTGGCTGACCCAGAAAAGGCTAAAGAGATCACTGCCCGTGACTGAGCATGACCACCGTGTGAGACACCACTGCCACCTTCCCTCTCATGTATGGTTGGTGGAGATACGGTTCCTCCGAGGTTGGATGACATTTGCACATTGGCCTATAAAACATCAAAATGATGTTTGGTATGTCCTCTTGCATTCATTTCGATTGCTAACAAATCACCACACATTTAGTAGCTTAAAACAACACACGCCAATGAGCACACAGCTCCTGTAGAGCGGGTGTTCAGGCACAGACAGCTAGGGCCTCTGCTCGGTGCCTCACCAGGCGGAAGTCAAGGCGTCAGCCCACTGCATTCTCACCTGTGTTCGGGGTCATCTTTTAAGGTGATATGGGGTGTTGCCAGAATTTAGTGCCTTACAACGGTAGGACTTATATTCCTGTTTTCTCACTGGTCACTCTCAGCTCCTTGAAACTTCCCTCAGGTCCTTCTTTAAAGCCAGGAAGAGAATCTCCCTCTGACTCTAAAGCTCTCACTTTAGAAAGGGCCCCTGCGTGTTAAAGACTCACCTGATTAGTTCAGGCCCATCAAGGATGATCTCTCTTTTGGTGAACTCAGATCCAACTGATTAAGGACCTTAATTACATTTGCAAAATCCTTTCCCTTAGGCCATGTAACAGTACCTAATCATGGGGGTGGTGATCCCATTCTACTCATGCTCCTGCATACACTCGAGGGAGCGAGAGGTGTTTTCACAGGGAGTGAACACCAGGAGGCGAGAATCTCGGGGGCCATCTCTCCACACCGCCTACCCCACTGCCCTTGTCTGTTTGAAGTCCTCACCAATTCTAGAAACTTAGTACCATTCTGTGGCTCTGGCTGCATGATGGAATTTTGAAGTGTTTGAGTCTTGGCATTCTTCTCTTGTTTGCACAGACAATGGTGAAAGGACACTGGAAGGAAATCGAAGACATTCTGAAATGTTGAGGCTCATCCCAAGAGTCCCTTTGGACAAACAGGAGCCGTCTTTAGAAAAGTAGAGACTGAACCTGCTCATCCCCCCTGGTCACCATGACCCCGATGCACACAAAAGAATTGTAACTGAATACCACCCATAAGTTGCTCCTGACACATATTTCAGAGATTTCTGGTCCAGATGTGCTGTGACTTTACACAATAATAGTAGCTTAAATAATACCAATATATACTTTAAAACTAGATAAGTATCTCTGTGGACCTGATAGAGAACAAAAACATGTAGCATAAGGGGAGGCTAAAGCCATGGGTTCCAAAGCTGGAAACAGGAAGTGGTGGTGGTCGAGAGTCGGACTCCCAAAATATAATAAGGATCACAAATGTGCCACAAATGGAGAGGTGCCAATGCTGGGCTCACAGCCTGAAACAGGGTTGGAATAGGGTTCAGCCATCTGTGAACAGAAGCTGGAAAAAGTTATGGGTAACATCCTGGATTGTGTTCTATATTGAATTGAGAGGTGAGCTAGGCATGCCTTCCGTTATGTAGAGGCGTGATATCCACCAGGGCTTTGCAGCATTAATAGTACCATAAGGCAAAGAAACTTATTGGAAAACAGAGCACTCAGAGCAGTAGACAGGCTCTTGAAAGTTTATAAATTGCCTATAGAAAATAAAGAAAGTAACCATGTATTCCACTGCAATTGATTTCAGTAACCTCATGTTACCCCCAGGGTAATTCCAATTGCAGACAGGAGTGCAGAACACATGGTCTGTAACAGAACACAGAGCTGTCGGTTCAGCACTAGAAACAGAAACTAATGCTTCTCAGTGTTGAAAAACTGCCATCACAATAGTTACAACTGTTTAGAGTTGGCAGGAGAATACCATATTTAGCTGTGTATAATGCACTCCTGTGCATAATGTACACACACATTTTAGTTCTAATTCCCATGTATAATTTGCATTGTAATTATATAATTATAATTATGTACTACCCATATAATTATATATGTATACATACAATTATACATGTTTATAATTATATATGTATACATACATATACATGTACAATTATGTGTATATGTATATATGTATGTATAATTACATGGGAATTAGTATTACCCATGTATAATGTGCATCCTTATTTTTCCCTCAAACATTTGGGCAAAAAAGTGCACATTATATAAGGCAAAATACAGTAATTGGAAAATGGAAACCCGTAGAAGGTGGTTCTCTCTTGGAAAGAGCACTGTACCAGGCGTCATAGGACCTGAGGCCAGGTCCTGACTGCTACTAGCTTGTGGTCACAAACTGTCACTAACTGGCTGCGTCCTGCACTTCATCTCTCTGAGACTCAACTTCCTTATTTGAAAAAGTGGGGGTTGGGAAATGAGACAAATTCTTCCAACTTCTGGAACATGATAATTCCATATTCTGTAGCTACACATAGAAGGAGAAAGATACTTGCAAGTACTGTGCTAAGTGGAAAAATACAGACAATTGATTGACTTTTTGCTACTCTGTATTTTTCTATTTTGTCTTTGACTCACAATGTTGACCCCAAAATTAAAGGAAAGTGAGAAAAACTGACTTCCCAATGCTTATATAAAACCAAACATTTCTCAGCCAACAATTATTTTTGGAAAGGCCATAACTGTCGTGTTAGTTCCCTTCGCAGCTGCACTGTCATCACATTCCAAGAAGACTTGATCACCTGTCACCCATGCCTTAGGACAAGTTCATAAAATTCCATTTAAAAAAATGGTTATTATCAAGCCCTGGCTGGCGTAGCTCAGTGGATTGAGCGCAGGCTGCGAACCAAAGCATCGCAGGTTCAACTCCCAGTCAGGGCACATGCCTGGGTTGCAGGCCACAGCCCCCAGCAACCGCACATTGATGATTCTCTCCCTCTCTCTTTCTTCCTCCCTTCCCTCTCTAAAAATAAATAAATAAATAAAATCTAAAAAAATGGTTATTATCGAAGATCTAGGCAGAAACCAGAATGGGAAAGAGAAATGTACAAAAAATAAGAGTTTGATGATAATTTCAAAGTTATGCTGTGAGAACCAGATGTGATTTTCTACAAGCATCTTAGAGACCTGACTTGTTCATAGAACATACTAAGAGCGATAATCAATAATCAAATGAAAGTTGACAATGCCGAAACTGTTCTGCTAAGTGAAAGTTCCATGGCAGAACAGAGCACTGTATTCCTAGATACTACAAAAGACCTAAATGTCCATTTAAAATTCTAGTTTTGACCGTTTTATGAGTCCAAACACCTTCTGCAACAGGACCCAAGGAGGAGAAGGTGCATGTGATCTGCCTGTTTACCTTTCAAAGTTACCATTGCCCCCCTCTGCCTCCTTTCCCAAGTTACACGTTTTTTTTCTTCTGCACATTTTAATGAAACCCTTCTGCCAGCACTGTCAGAAATATTGACAGTGTTTATTATAGAGAATGGCAAACTTCTCAAAATGATGCTAAAATGAGAACTCTTACCTGTGTAAATCCCTATTAATGTCACATGAATTCATGTGACATGGCTGATGAGACAAGAATTCTCAAGAATCACGATTGGAGCTTGATTCTTGGTCACTTCCTACTGGTCCCATATGCTGAAGGACCCTCAAGTAGGGCACCTGCTAACTCATGCAGGGGGCTCCCCCCTTTTTAGATTGCTTTAATTTTTCATATAACATTTCTTTTCTTTTTATATCATTCCTGTCTTTTCCTTTCCAAAAATGAATATATTAAAAGAGAAACTAAAGAAAGTAGGATTCACAATCCTTTAAAATCTATGAATACAACCCAGGGGTTAATGACTTTCTGTTTCATGGCCAGGCGAACACTGTCAGTTCAGAAACATTTCCTGTCAATTTTGACCCTCAAGGGCAGTCTGGTGACAGAGGAGACGTTGACCATTGTCATGGAATGGGAAGAGCTTTCCAAAGGGAAGATTGGTGGGTCCCCTCTTTGCGGCACTGAAGTTTTCTGTAGCCGAGCACAGCAACACCACCTGTGTGTTTTTCTAAACCACTGCTCCTTACAACTTCCTATAATACCTTGAGTTCATTGATAGAAGAGGCTGAAATGCAGTCAATATGAGGCGGGGCAAAAGTAGGTTTGCGCTGAGAGTGCACAAAACAGGGTTTAGAGCTACCCAGGCACCCCAGAGCTACCCAGAGCTACCCAGAAAGCACCCAGAGCTACCCAGGCATCCAGAGAGCTGCCTGGAGCTGCTGTTGCCCCCCTACATTATCACTTGATCACAGAGACCCTCCTACCTACGACAAATATTTTTATCCTGCAGATAAAGGGGAGAACTCCCTTCATTAGAGTTTTGATCTCAGTGGAACTCTCAAGAAGAGGGCCTGGTGAAATTGTGGTGCTTTTTTAAAAAGATTTTATTTATTTCTGTTTTAGAGAGGGGAAGAGGGGAAGTAAGAGAAGGAGAGAAACATCAATGTGTGGTTGCCTCTCGCACCCCCCCCTAC